CACATCGCCAATCGCCATGTCAGACTTTCCGCGCGTAGACCTATCCAGCGCAGCGGATCTGGATCGTATACTTGACAATATCCGTACGCACGCCTTGCAATTGCTATCAGATCGAGTAGAGAGGGAACACCAAGCTTCCGGGTCCAAAAGCAAGTCCTCCTCGTCTTCTTCGAGCAGATCAGCTATCGAAGTCGGTCAAAAAGCCATCGACATTGTGCGTAGATGGAGGTGCTCAAGCCTTTGGTGTGCTTTCCATCGAACAAGCAAAGCGCATATATGTATCAGCACAGCTCACAGTCGTGCTCTTTCCTGACCTACTCCGCCCACATTCCCCTGCCACCGGTGATAGTGGATTGCAAGTGCGCGCAGAAGGCTAGAACTGAACATCACTGCAAACGGACTGACATTTTCTCAGTTGGCAAGTCAAAAGACACGTGAGTGCATGCATACATCCCCTGCCCCTCCTGAATCCTTGTCTTACAAAATGTGAAGTGTCTTCGATGTTGCCCCCCAGCGGTGGCACCATTCGATCAAGTTCTTTCTCAGCGCGTACAGTCCTTGGCGGCCGAATCGGACGATTTGACTGCTCAGCTGGTCCACTCGAGAAGGACTGTGCCGCAAAGAAGAGCAGATGCTTTAGCAGCCAGAGCCAATGTCGTCCGCACGCTTGCGGCAAAGGAAGAAGAGAAGAGGCAATCGGTAGAGGAAGAATGGGCAAAGAGGGATAAAGATCAAGTCGATCGTGAGTCTGCGCCCGTCCGCTCTTCATCTCGATCTGAGTTGCGGCGTATTGAAGCCCGTCGGAGTTGCTCATTCTTTTGCCTTTCCTTGCGCTGCATTTTCCCATCACTGCACCCACAATGACCACAGTGTCCCTACCTCGAGCTGAAGGTGTGCGCAAATCGCTGCTTGAAGCCGTCGGCTCCATCGACGCGCTACAAGTGGCCCTGTTGGAACAAACCAGTGAAGCGCAAGATCACACGGATTTGGTCAGACGTCTGAGAGGTTTGGCAGAGCAGCAACTGAAAGCTTGATCAGGCTTGATTGCGCTCCGGATGCCGGTAGGCGAACGAGGCTGAGGTCTCTTTCGCCATTCGATGCGCCATCCGAGCGCGATCGGTCTTGCGTTGGTGTTTGGAAGAGGGGCCATTCTGCATGCAACGCGTCGTCCAGCACTTGAGATGCCCAATCTTCTCAGGGCTAGATCCTCCCTTGCACTCGACGCTACTCTTTGCACTGATGTTATTCCTTGTACTACCATTCTCATCCATCTTTCAGCGAGTCCCTCCATGTGTGCGCTCGATGTTGCATGGCCGTGAAGGGCATTTCGAAGCGAGTATCAAAGTTGACCTGAGCTGGTTCGTGTGGTGCGCGACCAAAGTCGATTACACTGATGATCACAATCTTGAATTCACGATGAGCGCTTTTCACAATCAGCTC